TTCTGGAATTTAAAGCCTGCAGTGGTGGTTAGAAAAGCTGCTGCTGATTTAGCTACTGTGCCAGTATCCACACTAATAATTACCTCTGCTAATGGGGATTCTTTAGGTCAGGAATTAGGTATTATTCACTACTGTATCTTAAGCATTTAGCATTTTAATGAATGGAATAATTATGTGTGGGCTAGATTTTTCTAAAAGCAGAGGCAAGATGGGTATTAAGAAGAAAAGTTACAGTATTCATAATGAATTCCTGACTCTGAGATGAATGAAAAAACCTATCCTTTCAAAATTGGGATCAGTGGCATGCCACGCTCACATCAAAGGTTCAGTGAGAAGGCTGTTTTCCTCTTCTCATTTCCCTTCAGTTTCCTAGAATGGGATAATTCTAATAATAGTAACAGATACCAAATATTGCATGCTTATTGGAGTTTAAGAACTGTGATATACACTTTAAATTGCCCTAAAGATGATAATAGCAGCAATAGCTAATATTTATTGATCACTTGCTACATGCCAGGCACTAAATGCTTTATATGTAATAATTACTTAAACTGCATCAGCCCCACATTGCAGATGAGGAAACTAAGGCACAGAGGGAGGGCGTGGACGTGTCACCTGGTAGGTATGGAGTCAGATATTAGCCTGAGGCCTCAGTGCTGGCTCTTACCCTTCTGCATGCTGTCTCTGGTGTACGCTGCTCCCTCCAAGCTGCCTCTGGCCCTTTTGGTGCTTTTGTGCAAATGAGAGAGAAGTGCATCTTCCTCAATTATAAACAAACATAAAGCTCTTCTTTAAGAATTATGCAAATTGAATTATTAAACATAAAATAGTTATTGTTTTGATTTTTTAATTGAACTTTGGAAAAATAACCACTGGCATATAAAAATTTGTTTCAAAATACACATCTTGCTGTCATGGAAATTAAATTACTTATGACAAATTGATACGTACTTTCTCCAATATCTCCTTTTCTATAGAAATGGTTCCCAGACTTGTGTGACATCTCCTTTGTGGCATGTTAGGCCTTAAGGAGTTTATACATTTTAATTTTAAGAGATATTTTCTCCACTGATGGCTAATATTGGAAAAGTTAAATATGTCCTGGGAGCTATAAAAGTATTTGGATATGTGTCTGGTAAATTATTACTGAAAGTGTATATATATATATATATGTATATATATATATGATTTCTGATATATTTATTCTTCTGTGCATAACAACTTTTAAAGAAACGTGTGACCATACTATACATGTTGTTATGAAAATTTTTTTTAATTGTGGTAAGAACATTTAACATGAGATCTACCCTCTTAACAAATTTTTAAATGTACAATACAGTATTGTTCATGATAGGCACAATGTTGTACAGCAGATCTCTAGAACTTAATCATCTTGCATAACTGAAACTTTATACCCACCTGTGGAGTAGCAACTCCCTACTTCTCTCCCCTCGGTCCCTGGCAACCAGCAGTCTACACTCTGCTCTTATGTATCTGATTCGTTTTGATACCTCATATAGGGGGATCATGCAGTACTTGTCCTTCTGTGACTGGCTTATCTCGCTTAGCATAATGTCCTCAAGGTTCGTCCATGTTGTCTCAAATGGCAGGATTTCCTTCTTTTTTAAGGCTGGATAATATTCCTGTGTAGGCATATACCACATTTTCTTTATCCATTCATCTATGGATGGACATTTAGGTTGTTTCCACATCTTGGCTATTGTGAATAATGCTGCAATGAACATGAAAGTGCAAATATTTTTTCTAGATCCAGATTTCAATTTTGGTGGGGGATAAATACTCGGAAATGGGATTTCTGGCTCATATGGTAGTTCTATTTTTAATTTCTTAAAGAATCTCCAGGGGCCCGCCCCGAGGCTTAGCGGTTAAGTGTGCGCGCTCTGCTACTGGCGGCCCGGGTTCGGATCCCGGGCGTGCACCGACGCACCACTTCTCTGGCCATGCTGAGGCAGCGTCCCACATACAGCAACTAGAAGGATGTGCAACTATGACGTACAACTATCTACTGGGGCTTTGGGGAAAAAAAGGAGGAGGATTGGCAACAGATGTTAGCTCAGAGGTGGTCTTCCTCAGCAAAAAGAGGAGGATTGGCATGGATGTTAGCTCAGGGCTGGTCTTCCTCACACACACACAAAAATAAATAAAATAATCTCCATACTGTTTTTCACAGCAGCTACACCATTTTACATTCCCACTAACAGTGTACAAGGGTTCCAATCTCTCAACATCCTCGCAACTGTTTATTATTTTTTGTTTTTTTGACAATAGCCATCCTGACAGGTGTGAGGTGATATCTCACTGTGGTTTTGATTTGCATTTCCCTGATGATTAGTGATGTTGAGCATGAGAAGATGCACAATATTACTAAATCACCAGGGAAATGTAATATTATAATGAAAGATACGTGATTTTTCAAAAACAACTTTATCGATATTGCCACAACGTCATATTTCTTAAATTGTAAATTTTTACAAAGTTGCAGTAATTCACATTTATCATAATTTTCAAATTATGTATTTCATCTGGAACAGCTTTTGTCAAACTGTAGTGTGAATTCAAATCACCTGGAGATTATGTTAAAATGCAGATTCTAATTCAGTAGGTCTGGTAGGGCCTGAGATTCTGCAATTCTAACAATCTCCCAGGTAATAGTCATGTTGCTAGTCCATGGACTACACTTTGAGTAGCAAATATCTAGAATAATGAAAAGGCCATGATATTCTTCATTATCATAGGCCTTTCTTTTAAAGACAATATTGTATACCCAATATAGGAAAAAATTGCTTTGAAACTTAGTTTTAGATCATACCTGGGCTGATAGTGAGATTTACAGGTGAATTAAATCTTCTTCCTCTTTTTTCTGGTAATTCAATGTTGGAGGATGGTGTCAGAGTCAAGAAATTCTGCAACTGGTTCGACATCAATGATATAATTTTAGTAAACAGCCTTGCTTCATGTTTCTTCAAAGAATTTCTTACTTCTTTTGATTCTTTCAAGGGCACTAGTGATGGAATTTTGGTTCCTGCACATTTTTTATATAGCATTAAATAATACCTATGTAGCAGGAGGCTGCAATATTTTAAAGGCAGTTAATTTTTGTACTGCCAGAATTTCCATAACAAAAAATAATCAATTGCCATATTAAGTGAATGATTATATAGTAATCTCTAATTTATGTCTAAGTAATATTTACTTTGTATATTATTAATGGGAAAGGAATATTTGTTGTTACATAGTGATTTACGTCATCATGAAAGTATTTGTAGATTTAAGTTAAGAACTCAGGAATACTATTCTGATACAGTAAATAAATAGCAGATGATATGAATTGCACTATATAGCACCACATTTAACCTGTGCACTAAGACCAGTAGAGGACTGTTTTGCTCACATTTTCAGATACTTACCTCTCAGTTTTCCAGTCAGAAATGTAATTCCTTGTGTGAAAACACAAGTTATTTTAGATGTTTACCCAGCAAGGCCTTTTGATGACCAAACTTGTTTGTCCTTTGTCAGGGGATGGTTGCAATATACTGATTTTGTTAAAACAAGATACAGTACTGCTATCTGCCAGAGAATTGTCATAATAAATAGACAAATTGCCCATTTTGGGAGTCAATAAAGTTATAATAAAAATATGACAATAGTTCACAATGGTAGAGCTGTCTGTGATGTGAATGTTGCCTCTGGAATATGGAGTCCCTGTGTAGTGCATAAACGAGCAATTCTATGTGACAGCTTTGGCTGCCTCCCTCAGCATGTTCCATCCCAGGGCTGTTTTCTCATGGTGTTCCATGTTGAGACTGCAGCTGTACTGGTTTCCTCTCTCCTGGCATCTCCACTCTCCAAATTAACCTGAAGAAGTCAGTTGTAGAGCAACAGGTGGGACACTTGAAGTACAATGTAGTTACCCCAAGCAGCAGTGATAAGATCCATTCGGGCGTCTGCATGGAGCCTCTTGGAGAGGGAGCTCATGTTTGGAGGTCCTCCATCCACGGAGTTTGTAGGTCAGCTCTGGAGCGGAAAGAAGGCGGAGGCATGCAGGTCTGTGCACAGTGCTCTTTGCATTTAACAGCCTACTTGTAGGCAGCAGAGAGGGGCCTGTGTCTCAGGTTCCATAGATTTACCCAATCACAAGAGCAACTCCACCACCACCGAGGACTCCATACAAAGGAAGTCAGACGTAGAGTATTTCTTGTTCAAGGGCCACATCCCCTCAACATTTGGGCCACATTTCATCTCAACTTCCATGTTACCTTGACTAGAAATGCCAGTGCAGGATACAAATGTCATGTTTGGAAGGGACCTGTGGAATCACCTAGCCCAACCTCCTCTCCAGTGCAGGAATCCCCTTAGCGGCTTCCTTGATCACCTACCTTCTAGCCCAGAGTTTCCAGTGATGGGCTGCTCGGTAGCCTGTTTCATTTCAGCCCATTTCAGGAGCCCAGGTCTAATTACTAGAAATATTCTCCATATATTAGGTTCTCTTAATTACCAGTTTGTTAATTATTAGTTTCCTTGTAACTTATTTATTCAAATGATTTTTTTCTGGAAGAGCACAGACTTTGATCTTCTTCATACATATTTATCAAAGTTGAATTTAAAGTCCACATATAGCCATAAAGAAATGTATAAAGGCAGAATATAGGATTACAGAATTGGAAGAAGTTTAGATAATAATTTATATCTGATTTTCTTCATTTATCCTTTTCCCCACAGATGTTTGTGTAGTATTCCCCTTGCATGCTTTAAATATCAAAAGAAAATCTCTTCTAGCATCTAAGAGCTGAAATGCTATCAAAATACCACTGAAAATAAATGCTCTATAGAATGTAACTGATTGTATAGAAATGTTTAAGGTCATTTAGTCTAATTAGCAGTAAAGTCAATCAATATATACAGAATGCAGTTGTTGCCCATGGAAATAATTAAGCTAATCCTCTTTGGACAATCCAAGTTGCAGAGTTCTTTTCCAATTTGCCTTGCTCTGTCTCAGGCTTCCTTTCCCCACTCCTCTTGCTCGTTCTCTTAATGTTTCCACTTGAGATCAATCAAAGTCCAGTCAGAATTTAAATTGGAAGGAGTCTCATGGGAACTCCAAGTCTATCCTTTCTTCTTTCCTTTTAACCTGGCCCATTTTTTTTTAAATTTCATGAAATGTTTGGGCTCAGCTTGAGTAAATCATGGCCATTGTGGTTCTACCAGCACGCTAACAAGAGCCAAATGAGGGTGTGTGCTGGCTGGACAGTGTTGATGGCAAGCTGCGTGTGGGTGGGCCGTGCTGCTGAGGACTGTTGTGTGCTGGGCGGCCGCCTGATAGATTTAGGCCCACCCTCCCCCTCAGTTATCCTTGGTGAGGAGGATCATTGGCAGAGAGTGTAAAAGACGGGCAACACATCCTACTAATGGCCAATCCCAACACAGCCTGTGGATGTGCTTAGAGCTTCTTTCCGGAGGACTCAAGGAGATATCAAGGCCTGAGGTGATACTCATAGCTTCTCCCAAAAAGATTTATCTGCCTTTCAAATGCATAATCTAAAATAATCCTCATGAGACATTTAGTAGGAAAGTTGGCATCATCATGAAAGGAAATACTCATTGTTCTACTTTTTCTTAGATTCTCCCTGCTTTCAGCTCTCTGTGCCTGTATACAGAAGCAAAATCAACAATATTAAGTGAATGTCTATGGAAGATTCTTGAAGGGAGATGATCAAGCTAATTAGCTAGATTACCTGCCTTCTGGTACTTTATATTCTAACTGGAGGAGGAAGGATGAGAGAATCATGTGCAAAACATTATTCAGGCTCAATGTTTTTTTTGAAAAAGCAAAAAAATAGTGGGAGAGGTTACACCAAAGAAAGTTTTATGTGCTTTACAGCAATATATTTCAAATAGTCCCAGTTTTAAATATTGTGTCCCATTAATGCTGTAAATTACCCAAATGTTCTGTTGATGCCAGTTTTTTTTTCTAACCTTCAAACTCTGTTTTTCAGGTGACCTCCTTCTCCTGAAAGTGATGCCCGAACCTAGTCAGATCATATGTTGTGAGTCATAGTTCAGAAATTTTGGTCACTATTCATTCTAGTTCTAGCTTTTCTACCAACTTGAGTGTGACCCTGGACAATCCTCTTCAGTTCTATATTTCTTGGTTTTTTAATCTGTAAAATAAACTGCTTGATCTGGTTTATTGCTGAAGTGCTTTGGGGTTATTATTGAATTTGTCTATTTGTCTTTATCATTCTTTAAACTTTTGCTTTTTATACTTAGAGTTTATGTTGTTAGAGTTAGAATTATGTTATTAGTTCATGTTAAATTTAATATTGCTCTCTCTTCCTGGTGGGTTGAACCTTTTAAAATGTGAGTGACCATCTTTATGACTAGTAATGCTTTTTGTCTTCAAGCCTTTTTGTCTGGTATTAATATAACTTTTTGTTTTCATAGTGTATCTTTTCTCATTCTACTACTTTCAACCTTATGCTGTATGTTTTAAATAATTCTTTTATATATCTTTTATATATATCTCTGATCTGGTACTTTTTACCTTTTAATTGGAGCATTTAGCCCATTTATGCTAAATGTAATTACTGATGTATTGATTTTAAATCTAGTGTCTTAGGTACTTTCCATTTGTTCTACTTGTTCTGTATTCCCTTTTTCCCTCTTTTTTGACTCTTATTTATAGGTGCTAATTATTTTATTATAAAATTTTATATAAAATAAAATTAATATAAATACAAAGTATATCAAAGTAAATTTAAATAAGCCAAACAATATTAATATTTTCAAATGAAAAAGTAAAAAAGAAAAACCTTTTCACCTTATATGAAATTATTCATATTTTAGATGTATGTTGCTTGAATTATCACTAACTTTTTTCTTAGATTTTCTTAGATTTAAAGCAATGATTTCTATTAAACTTAAGTAGGCTACAAAATATTAAATAACTTGAATAAATTTATGTTCTATATCAGATAAATATTCCATTCTTTCTGAATTTGAAAACCACTTGAGGACCAATTAGGAGAGACTGGCTCTTTTGAGGGCCAAATAAGGCGAAGATTCAGGCTAAAGGGCTTTTGACAGCCAATCTGGAGAGGCATGAGTACTCAGAGACAGGCTCCATCTTCCAGTACAATGCAAACTAGATCCAAAGGAGAGAATGGTGTAACTGCTGATATCAAGAGGCCTACACTCTCTGTTTTTATCTCCCTATTAGGAAAGAGACACATTTTAAGACATTATGGATGGATAAAATAAATATTTTGAATATGAGTCCCAAATCAGTCATGCTAAACAATCTAACATTTGTTCAATTTTTGAAGTTTTTCTTCACTGATTTGCACAACAGCAAGATGAGCCTAAAAGTATATGTTGTTCTAATGGTAAGGTCATGTTGGTGCTAATTACTAAGCTACTGAAATCTTTATTAATGGAGTGACATTCAGAGCTCGGATATTTTAAAAATAACACCAGGGCTCATAAACAGAGCTTCTCAATGGGATGTGGAACGTTAATCCTCCAGATAGCACCTGTTTCTTTGAGCACTCCACTGCTCCAGACTAATCAGAAGGGCGGACGCACTGAACTTCGAGTGGTAGCTGCGCTCTTTCTCCCAGGAGGAGCTCTAGATGGTGTGTTCCAGGCCAAGATTTATTTCTTTGTGCCACAGATAGTCAAAGCTTAAATGTGGCATACAAAGAAGCTTTTCTTAAAAGGTAAAAATTACTATCACTCTAAATTAATAATTAAAATGATTGAAAATGAGCACAATCCAGCTTTAATTTTTTTTCCTCTCCAAATTTATTTATTGGTCTAAGGGTTCTTCTGAGCAATAGAAGGTAATTCTGCTTATCTGTTGAGGTAACTTTTGAATCTAGTGTCTTATCCTTGAACCAGTGCTCGGTTTCCCAGAGAACTGACTGTGAGCTGACTTGGGGTGGGAAGATCTCTAAAGCTCCTCTGAGTCAGCTGGCGTAAGGTGGGTTGAAAAAACATAGGGCAAGGAGTCAGAAGCTCTAGGTCTAATCGTGGCTTAGCCACAGTCTATTTCATCTGTAAAATGGCATTAATAGTGCTAGGTCTGCCTGAATACAAATGGGCAAAGAATAAATAGGACTACATATATAAATAGTGTGTGAAAGCAAGATATTAATATTTTCATATACACTTGGGAACTTCTGGGATCCCTTCTCATTATGTCTTCTTATTATGTCCTCACGTGGCTTTTCATCTTCCACACTTTCTGGTGTCCCTTTATAAGGACACTAATTCTATCAGATCAGGGCCTCACTCTTATTACCTCCTTTAACCTTAATTACTTCCTTACTCCAAATACATTCATAGTAGGGTGGGCTTCAACATATGAATTTTGCTTGGGGGGTGGGGACACACAAACATTCAGTCTATAACATTGGGGAAGATTACATTGATCCAGAACTTATAGAATCCTCAGCTGTGGCCTCATATGTATCAGTGCCTCAGATGAGGCATCAACAGAGCAAAAAAGGACCAACTGCTAAAGATTTGCTTTCCAGAACTTCTCAATCAGATTTTCCATGAAGACTCTTCCATTCTTGACTGGTACTTGAAAAAAGAACAACATACTTAAATTTTGAGATGCCACTGCCAAATATTTTCATACAATATTTGATGTCATGGAAACCTTTTGAGAAATATTGGATTCTAGTGAATCCAATCTAGTGATTCTAGTGAACATCTGCACTAGAGTTATAGCACTTAATTGTTTTTGTTGATTGTCCCATTGCAAATTTCTTAAAATAACATTAATTACATACTTTATGTTTATGGAACCTGTGCTCTAAGGACAGAGAGGAAAATGATGCAATTTTAATTTTAGTCAAAATAAGGCAGTTACACTATGTCAGACATGCAAAACACTGGAGGAAAATTTGTTCTTTAAAACTTAAGAGGATAAAGGAGGAAACACTGTGAACAACACATTTTGGAAAGACTCATCCTTTTAGCCCAGTTGGTACCATTTGGCATTTATGTTGATACTTTGCATACTATAGGATCCTAGGGTGGCGTAGGTGCTATGATGAAGTGGCGGTGGACCTCTGTACCATCCCAGGGTGAGGGAACAGCTAACAGGGAGCTCGTCCTGAGATAGGGGAGTCCCTGCAGGCAGGAGAAGGCCGTGGTTCCAGGAGCAGAGAGTATTCATAAATCAAGAGGTGCTCACTTCAGAGAAGTTTGCCAACCAGCACCAGGGTCCTCACACTTGGCTTAAATTCAGAGTGGGTCTTTCTCTTTGGGAGGAGAATGGTCCTGGGTGAGCTTGTCTACTGGCTAGGTTAACGAGGTAAAGAATTGGACAAAGAGAACAACGTAGCAGCTCAGTGATCAGAACTGGGGCACAAGGTGAGGCTACAGTGGTCGTGACTTACTTCTGAGATGGAGATTTAAATTCCTCCTAGAGAAGTAGAGGGTGATGTCAGGAATTTAGGCTTATTTAAGGCAGTTCTCCTGCTGCTCTCTGGCTAATTTTTAGTCTTCTGCCTATTTTCTGGGCTAAGAAAACCGATATATGTGAGCCTCAAATGACAGTGCCATATTTTCTTTTCTTTTTTTGTTTAAAACTATAGAATCTTTAGGTTTCTTTCCTTTTTTTGAGGAAGATTGGCCCTGCACTAACATCTGTTGCCAATCTTCCTCTTTTTTTCTCCCCAAAGCCCCAGTACATAGTTGTGTATCATAGTTGTAGAATTGTAGCTCTTCTATATGGGACGCCACCTCAGCATGGCTTGATGAGTAGTGAGTAGGTCCGCTCCCAGGATCTGAACTGGTGAACCCCGGGCCACTGAAGCAGAATGCGTGAACTTAACCGCTACGCCACCGGGCTGGTCCCAGAGCCATATTTTCTTGGAGAGGTTTTTCAATAACCTTTAAATAATTCTATAATTTTTTGTGTGTGTGTGTGAAGAAACCCTGAGCTAACATCTGTTGCCAATCCTCCTCTTTTTGCTGAGGAAAATTGGCCCTGGGCCAACATATGTGCCCATCTTTCTCTACCTTTTATATGTGGGATGCCTGTCACAGCATGGCTTGATAAGCGGAGCATAGGTCCGTACAGGATCTGAACCTGTGAACCCTAGGCCACTGAAGTGGAGTGCGCGAACTTAACCACTATGCCAGTGGGCTGGCCCCAAAATAATTCTAGAATTTTTTATAATTTTTAAGTGAAGACTCTGAGGACTAAATGATTTACTCAGGTTCACAAAGCATTTCTAGAAGCAGAGTCAGAATTAGAAGACAAATCTATTTTCCCTAATGGAAAATATTAGAAAATGATCCTATACGGACAGACAATTTTTGCTGTGCGATGTGTTATTCAGTCTGGTGAGCATCATTCTTTGTGTTTCTGAAACAGAACGTTAAATGAGACTCTGTCTTGGAGAGTTGGGAGCTGGGTGGGCTGGTATCTTCCTCACATCTAAGAGCTCTGAGGGTGAGAAAGCATTGGGCTATGTTGGGCGAAAATTGCCCTTCTACCAACGGCAGGGGTGGTGGCGTTTCCTCTGAGGGCCATGCAGAAGAAGGAAACATCATTAGATCAGGTCTTCAAAGGGGTTGCAAGTGGTAGTGGTTGGAGGGCTGTTGATAGAATTTCAACAAGAGGTCTGTGTGGGGTGGGCCACCAGAGTGTCGAGGCTGGGGTTGGGGTTTGGAGGAGGTCAGTGGAATTATAGGTCTCACCTCTGCCCTGGGACATGCAATGGGAGGCTTCCAGCGAGGGAGTCTGAATTTCTGAGAAACTCACAGTAGCACCTTGTGAGTGTAAACATCCATCAAGCCTGGAGAACAGCCCTTCTCACCTGTCCCCCAACTCCCAAGGGGGCGGAGCAGAAGGGCAAGGTGAGAAATTGAAGCAGGTGCCAGCGACCACACTTGCCTCCCTCACCGCAGGCTTCCGGGCTGCAGCAGGCTGCAGCTGGGGCTGTTTTAACTTTAAAGGGTGTGCAGGGTTTGATTACTGCTCTGCACTATACATTTCAGACACTGAAAGAAAAATTTCTTTTGGCTAAAAGTGACCTGAGGACTCTTTAGTATTTGAAAGTAGTCACAAAAAAGTTATAGGATTTTCTTGATGTTTTTTTCATCCTTGGGCAGAAGAAGAACTAGCCAAAGAGCAAGTTTAATGGAGTGTGTGTGTGTGTGTGTGTGTGTGTGTGTGTGTGGAGGGAGGGGCAAAGGATAGTAGTGGTAGAAATCTATTTGTTTGTACCCTATAATGTGATGCTTAATCAAGGAAATGGTTATCCTTCTGTAGTGCCCTGGATAAAATCCATCCAATACCCATCAAGCCATCTGGTTCTTCTGGAGAAAATAACCACTCTGATGCTAGAAAGTAAGCGCCCTGAGCGCCAGTGTGGTGCCTTTCTTTCTAACACGTAGTACAACATCTGCCGTATCATAGGCGCTCAATAAACATTTGTTGGATGGGCAGCTACTTGAAGGTAGTACCACTTAGTGCTTAAGAGCTTAGGTTCTGGATTTAGAGAAACCCGGGTTCAAATCCCATCTCCGCCATTCGCTAGCTCTGTCACGTTAGACAATGTTTTAACGTTTCTCTGCGCCTTAGATTCCTGTATTTAATGTAGAAATAATAGTAGTTTTACCTTATTGATCTGTTTGCAGAATGACATGAGAGAGTGTAATGGGATATAAGCACATGGCCTGACTTGTTAAGTGCTCAATATGTGATAGATGTAGCTTATCGTGTTCTGTAAACTGTTGCTGCATTTCAAACCTCTCATAAAGAGCTCACACTCCACACAAATATTGTTGATTTGAGTTGAATTTTAGCAAAAAGAAACATGTTACTTTTAAGTGGTGATTAAAATAATCCTTTCCTTCCTTCCTTTTCTCTTTGCTCCCTTCCTCCTGCCCTCCCTCCCTTCCGTTTTAACCATATTGCCTTGGGTTAGGTATGGTGAGGTCAGAACAGCTCAAGAGAGAGAAACCAGAAAGGGTCTTACATCCCAGTTCCCTGGGGAGCACACAGCACACCACACAAGGCCCCTCGGGGGGCACCGGCTCAGTCAGGAGGCAGAGGGAGAGAGGGGAACTGTGGGCAAGCGCCTGTATTGTGATTTCTGAGGGAAGGAAAGAGCAAGCCAGGGCAAGCAGGTTTAGGATTGGCTAATCTGAATAATTTCAGGGGGCTCCAGGGCCTAGGGGCTGTCCCCAACGGTCTGATCCCTGGCCTGGGGCAATCAGTGCAGGCGTAGAGTGACCCAGAGTGTGAGAGCCGATGTGGGAGGTGGTTGGCGGTTCGAACTTAATTGGTTGCTCAAGAAGGGAAAATGACCGTTCCCTAGCCAGGACCTCAAAACTGGGTCAAGGCAATGTTTAAAAACCTCTATTACACTACATGGAGTCAACTGTTAGCAGGAACTGAGGCTGAGGTGTTTACTAGGTAGGAAAATCTGTCGTGTGTGCACTGTAAATACTAAGTGTTGCAAATGCACTCTGCTCAGCGAGGGCGGAGCAGCCTAATGCCATCATCCTCGGTTCTCTAATGTGTGACTATCTCTGCCTAAGGGGCGAGCGAGAGGCTTGGGTTACCCAATGTTGGCCTGCACAGCACTGTTGGGACATGTTTCAGAATATCTTATGAACGAGTCTCGAAGTACCTAGAAGTTGTAGATATGTCTCTTTATACATATTTATTGAACATTTTTCCTCTTAAAACCATTGGATTTGGGTAAACCATGGATTGGCCCAAATAAATAATTGAGCCTCTCCGTTTTTCAAGTCAGAGTCTTCTCTCTGCTGTCCTGCTTGTCACCGAGCAAAGGGGGCAATGAGGGAACACGGAGAGACTATTATATAGTGTTTTTCTTTTGTCTATTTCTTTGTTTTGTGTTTTGGGAAAAGGGGAAAGCAAAAGGAGGTGGAGATGGAGAGTAAAAACTTCAATACAGTGTGTAGAACTGCAGTATTTACTGATTACAGCAGAAAACGTTAAGTCCTCTTGCCCGTTATTTAAAAATAGGTCTCTGAATGTGTCTCCCACGTTCTGTAATGACTAACAGCTGCATTAGTATTCCAAAGAAAATCCTGGTTGTTAGATTTCTATAGTGAAGAATTGTTTCAAAAGACTTTACTTCACTTTTTAGTACTATTTGTAGTCTTGATAAATTTTTGTGTTACTAGCATCAAATTATTTTTAGTTCAACTGGTCACAGTTGGGAATAAACCTAGATTCTGTTTTGAATATACATCCTATATAAACATCTAATTATATAGCCAACGCAAAGATATGGTCTATGGTTTTTCACACAAATGGTGGTAAGAAGGAAATTCAAATATTATAAGACCTATTTTATAAGCTTCCTGTTACCAGACAGAAATGTCAAGCCCATTCATATAAAAAATGTATTTCATTTCAAATCTTAAGGTCACTAAGTAAATACTGTTACAGTATGCAAATAATTCAGACAAAATTTATAGGTTTACAAACATACTTACCTACTACGTGAAAACTTAGAATGAGCTGCAAGAGTAGTTATAGTAACACAGATAGTCTGTCTGTTCACAGAGAACATTTTATTCATAAGGTTTGAAACATTCGAAGAATCCTAGAGGATAAAAGGAAGACTGATGGGAGCCGTTCCCTGTTGCCAGTGAGGTGACCTTGGGCACATCTACCTCTCTGGGGCTCAAGTTCCTGCTCTGAGAAAGAGGGAGTTACAGGAAATAATTGCTAAGGTTTCTTTTATTACAAATTGCCATGATTTCTTTTTTACAAGTCAATTCTCATTTAGGAAAAAGAAATAGGTAAAATGTATGGTATAAAATATGAATTTCCTTGTATAACAGGCAATCATGAACTTTGTCTTAGCCATGAGCTTTTTCTTCAAATAGCTTTGTTGAAGTTTAATTGATATACAACATACTGTACATATTTAAAGTGTACAATTGGGAAAATGTTGACATTCGTATACGTCTGTGAAATCAGCACTACAATTTCCCTGTGTGTTTTGTATAATCCCTCTCTTCCTCCCCTCTTCATCCTCCTGCCCCGTGCCCAGGCAACTGCTGATCTACCTTCTCTTGCTGTTTCATTAGCATTTTATAGAATTTTATATAAATGAGATCATACAGTATGTGCATTTTGTTTTGGTCTGGCTTCTGTCACTCAACATAATTATTTTGAAATTCACTTGTGTTATTGCATGTATAGTTTAATCCTTTATATTGCTCAATATGATTCCTTTGTAAGAATATCACAGTTTATTCACCTGTTAATAGGCATTTGCATTGTTTCCAGTTTTTATCAATAGCAAATGCTGTGGACATTCCTGTGTGTCTTTGTATGGACAAGCACAGAAGTTGGGTAAATATCTAGAAGAGAATGGCTAGATCATGTGGTAGATGTTTTTTAAGAAACCACAAAACTGTTTTCCAAAGCGATCGTACCATTTTGCATTCCCAACAGTAGTATATGCGAGTTCCAATTCTTCCACATCCTCACCAACAGCTGGTATTGTCGGTTGTTTAAATTTTAGCCATCCTAGTGGGTGTGAGGTGGTATCTCATTGTGGATTAATTTGCATTTTCCTAACGACATATGCATTTTCATGTGCTTATTTAGCCTCTGTATATCTTTGTTGAAGTGCCTATTCAGATGAGATTTTTCCCATATTTAATTGGATGGTTTATTTTCCTATTATGGAGTTTTGAGAATATACCATTCTTTATATATTGTGGATATTCTTACTTATAAGACTTGTTAGGTGTCAACTGAGCGTAGCAGTGCTCAACCTAGGGCTGATTACCCCCAATTCTGAGGCAAGACCCTTGTGTGTTCTCCACCCAGTGCCCTGTGACTCATGAGGTTTCCCATCTGCTTGGTGGGAACAGGCACTATTTCCAGACCCATGTGAAAGCCAGGTGCTGTTTCTTCTAATTCTTTGCAGTGGCTCTTTCCCTGGCCTCGGGTAATTTCCTTAACAACACGTGTGGATCAGTAATCAGCTGAAACCTGCAGAGGAACTCTGCAGCTCCCTGGAGTTCCCTTTCGAGGCAGTTCTTTCCTCTCTGTGCTCTGTCCTGAGAATTGCAGCCGCTTTGATCTTATCCATTC